CACTGCACCGCCTTATCCGCGGCCGCACTACCCCGGTCCCTGCAACACCCCGCGTCAGCACCTTCTCCGCATCCACGCCTCCGCCGCTGTCGCCGCCGCTGCTGCAGGCGCTGCGAACACGAGCCCGTAACACGCGCCAGCGCGCCGTGATGCCTATTCTGACGTCACTCCACGGCGCCGGCCAACGCCTCGTTAGAACGGCGATTCGCGCTCTTCCGATGCGTCATCCTGCGTCTGTGGCGCTTAAAGTATCAAAATACCGTTTCAAATCATTTATTTTTCATTTCGCCTTTCCCTAAGTGGCACGATGAGATAGAATCTGAATCCAACTGAAAAAAATTAAACAAAGTAGATAAACCTGACAATAACTTTCTAACTCTTGCTTACAGTGCTGGACTTTTGACAACCTGCTAGAAGTTCACAGAAAATATTAGAGTATTTTCTGGGAAATTTGAATGACAATATACATTGTATTTGGAAATATTTTATGTTAACGAAAAATGAAATTTTCGAAACCAACAAATATTGAGTAAATAATTGAAAGAAAACATGTGTTTACATTACTGATAATAAAGTTCCAACACATACATTAACAATTAGTTATATTAAGTGTGTCCATCTATTGTTTGTGGCTAACCTTGTAAATTGCACGTTTAATAATTGCACAACAGTAATTTATTAGGTAAATACGAAATATAAACAACGAGTGACATTTGTAGAAGAGGAGACATACATATACTGTTCACTGGTAAACAGTACTGAAAACTCTCACTCGACTTGTCTCTCTCACTCTCACTCTCTCGTTCAATCTTTCTCTTTCACACACACTTTGTCTCTTTCTTTGCGTGTCTCTCTCTCACTCTTTCACTATCTTTCTTTAAATTTTAATGTGTAAATAATAAAAGACAAATCATTAATAAGATGGCTGGTGAGATAGATACCTTCTAATAATGAAGAAATTAAAGGTGTTGTCCAGTATTAAAAGTATATTTCTACTTAAGATCTTTTTGATAGAATAGCTGTCATCATCAGAACTATCTGAAAAATTACAGTAATACATATACATGAATTATATAAATTATTTACAACATTCTTCACAAAAGGTATCATAGTATCCAAAATAAACCGTAGAACATTGTTTTCTCCCAGAGACTTCAAGTTATGATCCAGTTTGATTATGCTTTTCACTTCCTCGTACAATGCTACTTTTTGTGTATAATTTTTGTAAATGATTTATATAATTCATATATGTATTTCTATAATTTTTCAGATAGCTCTGATGATGATAGCTACGCTATCGATCTTAATCTAATATGTACTTTTGATACTGGACATCACATTATATTTATTTTAAAGTTCTTTATCCGAGTATTCATGAAGTGGGGAACTGTAGATGGGCGGGTTCAATTTAATTTTCATTTGATAATTTCGGGAAATAAAATAAAATGTAAAGATCTGCATCAATCGTAAGAAATTACTTGTAAGGTATAGAAACAAGTGATAAAATGAGTAAATTTGTGTCAAGTGCTATTTTGAAACGTCTGCACTCTGACAAATATTTTTCGATTGTTAATAAAAACATACTTATTATTCAAACTTTGAAACATCCATCTTTGATGTCTTGCAGAATATCTTAAGTATTTATGTTATTTGCATTGTATATGAACGTTCTATTTATCTCAAGAGGCTTCTACACGGCAGTGGAAATTGTTTAGTCAAGGGTTCGCATATCTTTCCTTTTGAGCACGTTTCCTCGAAGAGCTGCCGGTGCCTTGCTATTAGGTGTTGCTTTATCAATTCGGACGCTGCCCAAATCCTTGGGCGGCGACGAAAGCGCGCAATACGAGCAGGGCAAAGCCCATGAAGGGAATGCCTCAAATTGGACGCTTAGGGGCCAACCGTCTGCCGTCGCCGCCACGAGCCGCATTCCCAGAC